TTATGTTTCGAATTTCGGACATAAAGGCCCTGATCTCCCCCAGCAAAATGTTCTGGTTTTGCCCATGGGCTCAAACTGCACGGAAACTCGTGCTAAATAAAAATATACAACATAATTTACTACGTTCTTTAATCAATAACACGCACGTTATAATGAATAGAAATCTTTATAGTTTGGTCAATATAAAATATGTGAAACCAAGCGCTAAGCAGAGAAATTAGGCCTGTTTGGCAGGGACAACTTTTATAAAAGATGGAAAGAAGTGCACCCCACTAAAAAAGCAGTAGTGTTGCATATTGAGGGAAAAATAAGAGAATCTAGCCATTTAATACCGGACATTCAAAACTATCCCGAAACGGTCTAATTTTTAACTTAATAGATTTCGTGGCTTTGCTTATATGGAAATTAAGATCGTTCGTTAACTCATTGATTGCTGTCTCGACATTAATGGTATTTTATACATTAGCAAAAGATTCAAATTTTAAATTATTTTTAATTTTTTCGTAATTAACGTACCCATATTTATTTTGTTCCGTATTATTTTTTAAATTATCTTTAATTTGAAAAATTATCGAATTGTGATCCGTGATTTTTGAATGCAACACCATTGGTTTTAGTTTCTTTAGATTCTAAATGGGTAGATTTTATAAATAAGTGATCTAAGCAAGTTTTTGAGTTTTTTTTATTCTTGTAAATTTATTTATTGTAGAGACAAAACCAAATTCATATAGAATATTTAAATAATCATTAGATTCTTTACTAGAAGTTAGGATATCAATGTTTATATCCCCTACTATTATTTCCGTTTCTTCTAAGTGGGTGTTTTGTAAATATTGACCAAGAGAATTTATGAAATCAGTTACATTGACATCATGAGGTTTATAAATGGCCGATATTCCTATATGCCTTGTTCCTAGATCTAAAACTGTTCGTAGGCATTTGATACCAGCAATAATAACAGTCTCACTTTTAACGTTGAAAGTATCTTTTATTTAAATTATTACCCCATCAATTATGTTAATATTGCTTTCACTATAAATTAAATTGTAATTTTTTATATTATATAATTGTGGATTTGATTGGACTCTTGTGTCAGTTAAAGCTATGAAAACAAATGGTAATACGAACTAACTAAGCATAATTTCTAAGTGATTAAAATTTTTACCAATACTTCTTATATTAGTATGAAATAAGGAAAATGTTTGGTGGTCTAGGTAATTTTTCGCATCCTGTATTGTATCAGCTTCAAGGGTGTCAATTTCAAATGGGTCAACATCTCTAACATAGGCATCCATACTCTTATTTTAGCGTAGATATTATTAAAATTGATAAGAATATTTAAAAATAAAAAAAGTATCAAAATAGATTACAATACAAACAGATTTCAATAAATATCAATGTTTAGTTTTAAAAGAAAATCATAAATTGTGAATAATTTATATTCGTATTAAGCGATAGTTAGTCAAGGCGCTTGATTAATTCTTGACTTGGATCTAAATTTTCGAATTAAAATAATAAAGTTTATAAAATATAATTTTTTGACTATGCTCTATTTATGAATTAGATTTTAATTAGTTTCTGGTAAGTCTTGGAGGGATGTCTTTAACTTTTATTTCCTGACTTATGATTGCTGCTGCTGCCTTAGTTGCTGAAGTGGCCTTCGCGCTTGTGTTACTTTTTTGAATTAATTTGACTGCTTTTCTTGCTAATGGTTATGTTTGCTTCGGTAGAGTTTCTTCTGGAACTTCCAAAAAATTGTCTACTTCCTGTCCCTGTATTGTTGGAGTAGCTGGAACACTATTGCCTTTGGACTCAAACTGACATTAATCACGCTATTATCCAATACGTCTATAACCTACGGTATGTCGTCGATATAGAGTTTAAAATTTTTGATATATGCTTTCTGACTATTACGAGTTATCATATGGCGAACTAACTTTTTTTGATGTTGTTGATCTTCAAGACTTAGATCGTGGGAAATAGTAATTCCAGTTCCCTTCAGTTTATATAATTGTTTAATTAGTTTGTTTTTGAAGATGACTTAGGAATTGCAGAATAACAGGTCCCTTTTGCCCTACTTTATAAATATTATTTATATTTCGATCTTTGTAGTCCGTGCCAAATATGAATCTTTTATAGACTGTATTTTAGATTTTATATCACTTGTTTCTTTTTTCAATTTGTTGTAATAGTTGATTATTTGTCATATCATTATTCATTTTTATTTGTCCCTCAGACTATTGAAAAGATAGCAAGGTGCAACTTTTTATATTCCTTTGGTTGTTTTAATAGAATATTATAGAAATATTTATATATAAAGTGATGTAAACTTTCGTGCTCTAGCTTATTTTTGAATTAATTTAGTACTCACTTGTGAAAAATTTGATATAACATTCAATTTTGTACATTTGCATAATTTTATTGACTATAAAACAGGACCGATTTTAAACTGAACTGTACTGTATGAGTCCAGTCAAGGAGCAGATTTCTGGAAGACTTGCTGAGTAATTTAAATCAACATAAAATAAGTAAATTAGACTTTATTAAAATAATTTCATATAAATTTAGAGTTAAGTTTTAATTAAATTTTACAGTTTTAATAAAAATTTAAATATGTAGTTATTGCTGAATTATTGCCAATTAGTCATTTTACAAAATACCTAGATTAATTAATAAAATAACACAAGTTACTAAGAAGAATCAATATTCTTAAAACCTTACTGGCTAAAAAATATTTCCTGAAAATGTTACTGACTGAATATAAAGAGAACGTTTGTAGAATTTTTAATAAACAACGCAAAAGGTGGCAACAATGGCTCAATTTTACAGCTAAATTTGCTTATCCTACGATAAGTGACCCTTACCTTATGGGGATGCAATTTCGTTGTGACCTTTTTTGAATCAGGTAGGAAACCCTTTTTTGGGATGCAGTTTCGTAAGAGCCTTTAAAACATAGAGGGAAAATAGGGTTCTGAAACCAATTTTTAAGCATAGGGCCATTCATTTCTTCATGGTAGTCTTTTGTTTTCTTTGACTCGAACATTAATAAACCATCTGGCAAAAATTCATAGGCTCTTTTAATGTGGGTTATTATTAAACGATTTCCTTCTCCTGTTGGATTTTATAATCCATAACAGACCCCTTCCATAAAGTCTTGTTTTTTAGTTTTGATGGAGGTATCTTGCCAAATTTTTAATACTGTATGTCCAGCATTAACCCATGTTTCATCTAAATAAAATATTTATGCAATATTTTCTAATGCATTTGTCATTCTTATACAGTGAGAATCATAAGTCTTACCCCCTATCTAACTCGTTACTGGACTCTTGTTAGGAAAATCGCCGATACACGTCGATTTTTGATTTCTACAATGTACATTTTTGTATGAATAGTTTACACTTAATTTCATCCCTTACTGGAGAGGGGCAACCTTTTTGAAAAATTTAAATGGCATGGAGTGGTAAGTGATAGCTCGTTTGAAAGGGGGGTTTATTCTCTATCATCCGTGCAAAAAATATTGAAATTTGCTTCATTAATTCTCGACTAATTATTGTTTCAGAATAACGGAAATTAACGTAGTGCACTCATCATTAGAATTAAAATTCGGCCCTGCATGATATGGGTTTTGGTTCAGACGTGAAGTAAGACTTTTTGCCATTAGATAAGGTCACTGTTAGTTTAGTTGCTTTCCTATTTGTGATGTTTTGTTATTTTTAAACATTAATAAATCAACACGTAATGAAGCAAATTTCAAAATTTTTGCACGGTTGAATAGAGAATAAAACCCCCCTTCAAATGAGCTATCACTCACCACCACATGCCATTTAAATTTTTCGAAAGGGTTGCTCCCCTTCAGTAAGGGATGAAATTAAGAGTAAACTATTTATACAAAAATGTACATTGTAGAAATCAAAAATCGACGTGTCTCGGCGATTTTCCTAGCAAGACTCCAGTAACGTGTTACGGATATGAATAAATAAAGTCTGATGTATCTGTCAAAAGAAAATCTTTATTACATTAAAAACCATGATTCAGTCTAAACGAAACCTTTTATTAGGCCGATCAGATGTATTAAAATGTTTATTAAAACTGCAACTAAGCATTGAAGGATGAGTAATAAATAAAATGTCTACCTAGAATATAAATTGTGTCTACAGTTATTACTCCAAAAAGTAAACACAGTTTTATCAAACCAAAAACGAAGAAATTTAATCAGTATAAAACTCAATGATTGGTTAGCATATTGAGCTCTTATTGGCTGAAGTCACAAAATTTGACTATTTTGACAGATGAAAATATAAACGTAAATAATTTGCATAAATATTTCAGCATTGTCATTATTACATTTTTGTTTAAACGGCGACAGAATCAATTTGATAAAGATAGATAAATATATGATTTATAATAATTGAAATTAACGTGAGATCCAAACGTCAACAAAATAAATATTGTATTTGGTGAAAAATAATGAAACTCAAAATTTAAATGTTTTCTGGTAAACGTGAAAGATAAGAAGTAACTTTTTAAATGGTTTATATACATTTTTAAAGGGTTTTTATTTTCAATTTAGAAAAGAAGAATAAATATCAAATGCGCATGCGTAACCAGCGAAGTATTTAACTAAATAATGCGTCTTTAAGAAAATATCAGTTAAAATCATCCAAGATAATATTCTAATGTGTGTTTTAATAAATAATAATTAATGTTTTGTATTTATAAAAGAATGATTTATCATGATTAAAAAGTAATAAAAATTATCTAATTTTTTTTTGACAAATTATTTTTTAACTGATGGCCATTGTATTATAAATTATTGGGTATCAATATTACAAATTTTCATAAATAAACTTCTATTTGTTTTCGTTTGGGCTTGGTAATAATTTAAAATGTCAACAAACAAAATTTGACCTAGTTACAGTAATGCATGTTTGAATATTATTTGACCTTTTTCTATTAATAAATTTATGCGATTTTTTACATTTTGTTATTTTACAGACAACTTAATTTTCTGTAAATGTTTTCTTGAATCCTAAACTCGTGCCACTGTAGGTTTTAAATCTATAAAAATGGGGGATCGTAAAAAAAGGGATAGGTACTAATAATGGGTGAATGTATTTTAACTTTTTAACACTAAAATGCGTCCTTACCGTTGGCATGAGTTGATCAGTACTTCTAACTCTGGTCACTTTATTCTTATAGATAAGTTTTTTAACAAGCCTCTCCATCGGTTGATTCCATTTCATGAAACTAACGTACGCTATGTAGAAGCTGAATAACACCAAAGCTTCGTACCAATAAATATAGCTATCTCTGAAGAAAATTATAAGCGTAATGAGACTAACAGAGTAAAAGAAACAGTCTCTAAATAGAGGCCACCACGTGAGCGTCAATACGGTTCTGGAAAAAATTGCGCACATTCCAATAACAAATAGAATGTTAAAAACGGCTGAACCGACAATGGTACCAATACCGACGTCGTCGAATGACACGAATACACCGATGACGCTGGTAAAGAGTTCCGGAGCCGAACCCCCAGCTGCCATAAAAGTCGCTCCGGCCACATCGTCTTGTATATCCAGCTTCTCGATGATGACATCCAATGCTGGGACGAAGAACTCATCGCAGACAATAGCTAGAGCTACGAACATGTAGATGACGCCGAGGATGTGAAGGATGATGGCCCCGTTACGTCGCTGTTCCTCCGAGAAGAGGTCTTTGGGAAAGAGCGGGTCTTTCTCCGGAAGCGGTGGGGTTTCATTGTGGTGCAGAGTGGGCACGGGAGAAACAGTGTAAACCAGAGTGGTGGTTAGGTTCTCTTCATAATCGTGGTGGTAGAAACCTTCAAGAGCGGTATCGGCGTGGGCAGGTCGCCCCAACAGCGCCAAGAGCACGCAGAGGAGCGCAACGCGGGGGGTCATAGCGGCTGCAGACGTTCGGTCATTGCCACAGCGAGGCCGGGCACGGACTGGAGCGTTCGATACGTTGAGAGCGCGCAGTCTGCGCTAGTGCACCACCCGGCGCGCGATCCCTTCTTCAGCCGGTCCGCGCACTATCTCCGCCATGTCCCGTCGCTTTTCCTCGGATTTCCGAAGGTTACGCTTTTCGAGTGCTTTTTGGTAGTAATCGAAAAGGTCAACTCAAATCATTTCACTTCTACTACGACTAAATTTTTAATCAAAAATATTACTAAATGCCTAATTTGCTTTTCCTTTAACAAAGATTTTGTTGTGGTCCATATGGTCCGATAGAAGTTCATTGAAATTGTTTACAGATAAAACATTTTTTTTAACTATAGGGAACTCTTTTAATATCAGATGCAGATTTGTAATGGGTGTCCAAATTTGACCTTCGGATTTAATTTAATAAAAAAACAGAAAAACCCCTTGAAATATTATAATGTTATTGTATTATTTTAAAGTTTAAATGTTAGGGTTAAGAATGAAAAATGATATCCGGCAAAATACAGAATTTGGATGGATTCCTTCAGGTCACATTGCCGCCCAAAAGACTGAAACAATAAAGATGACATGGTAGTATGCACCGAAGAAGATAAAATATTAACCAAATTCTGGGAAATCGAAGAACTTAGTCCTCCACAATACTTAAACCCGAACGACCAAGTCTGCGAAGAATTCTATCACCAAACTACTACATGAAATCAGGATGGAACATATACAGTTTCCATACCATTTAAAACTGCAAACACGGAACTGGAAGACTCCAAGAAAAGAGCAGCTGCGAGATTGTTACAACTGAAACAAAAACTCGAAAAAGATAATCACTTAAAAACACAAGTTCATGGACGAATACATAAAATTAGAGCACATTAACCCTAGAACGGTATCGTTTAATTTCTACCGCTTGATGGTATGGACACGTAAAATTTTTACATGTACACTTTGTAAAAGTACCTGTTTTATTGGTTTTTTTTCTTATCGGAACATAAAATAGTGTTTTTAACATATTTTAATAACAAAACAATATTTTAAAATGAATAAATTACACTATCTGAATTTAAAAATAAAGAAACCAATTTTTCATTTGATTTTTTTGAAATACGTGCATGTTTTTATTTGGTATTCCCCACATACTGTTTTGGTACATTTTACACAGTACGTAGTTGCCATTATTTCCTTTAATGTAGGACAAAGGTGGCAAATGTCCCTTTTTTGATGCCCTCCCCTTCGATATTTGTACTGGGTAAAAAGGTTTCTTTAATATCTATTGCACTTACTGTACTTAGGTATCCTATTTGTTGACGTTGTGATTGCTATGGTTTTGTGAAGTACTCAAAACGTGTTAAAGTTTTACCACCTAATGCTTCAACATTGTGTGACTAAATTATGTATAAATTCATGCAAGTCATATTTATCATATTGTAAAAGATACATAGGGCCATTTGCAGCGACAGTCGTTAAGAAATAAGTGAAACCTAAAATTTTAAGCTTAGCGGTACGTCAGATAAACGTACAACAAATAATTGCTTACTGGTATCGATGCGTATGTACGTGTAAAAATCAAGCCACATCTTCTTTTGCTAAATAGTTGCAATTCTGACACCTAGAATTCTTCACAATAATAATATAATAATAATAATAATAATAATACTCTCCCTAATTCACCCCCTTACGAGTGAATTTCAACCCCTGAAGTCGACTGAACGACTTGTGTAGGGGAAGGGACGGCTATTATTATTATTTGCCGTGGCACTCCGGGGCGACTTAAAGATGTTTGATGGTGCCATTTGACTTACAGGTGAGGAAAACCCGGAAAACCTCACCCACCATCATAAGTGGATGTTTCCTGAGTAGAGGTGTGTCGTTCGCGAACGATTCGTTCAAAAAGAACGAATCAGTGCACTGACTCGAATGAATTGATTCCCTGTTTTTAAAAGATTCGAATCTTTTTTGAGTCAATTGCTCGATGGCTCTGCGATCGATCAAACACGCCGAGTTCCGAGTTTGGTTGCTTCGTTCATTCGATTCGGATTCGGTATTTGGTATTTTACATCGGCATCGGCAAATTGGTCGCTTTTGTTCTACGTTCTACGGCATAATACGAGAACTCTAACTGACAGGCGGTGGCGGTATGTGTCTTTAATGTTTTTCTCACTTTACAGGAGGTGTGTATTAAGCTTAGGTAAACAATTTATGCGTGTTATCTGATAAATAAATTTAAATCAAAGTAAAATTAAAACAAAAAATGACGAATCGTGAATATATAATTTTGTGTTAATTTTGGCTATATATTTGGCATTTAAAAAAAATTGTGTTATTGTTGTTTATCTTAACGGACAAGGATGTATTTATTATTCAGCTGCCTTTTTTTATGAAATATGAAACATTAATTCGCTTTACTTTAAAATAAATCTGGTTATAATTATTTTACTCAACGACCTAGTAGGTAGGTATAGGTTAGGTAGTACTCAAATTCGTAAAAGTTCGGTTCGATTTCCTTCGCCGGATCGGCGGAATAACATCGTTCGTGGTTCGCTAAAGTGAATCACTTGAGAACGAATCTTGAAGAACGAATCTTTTTAGGTGAATGAATCAAATGAATTAATTCAGTAAAAAGATTCGAACTTCCCACCTCTATTCCTGAGGCACTGCTGAAAGCTCACGATCGTGACTCAAAAGAATTAGTGGAGAGGGCCCTTTTGCAACAAACCACACGTAAATTTTACGTACGATACCGTTCTAGGGTTAAGAAAGTGCCATTCCACAAATACGGACAAGCAAAATTTAAATTATAAAATGTGTTCAGTTTTTTATTGTTTATATCTATTTCTTTTTCCAGATTTAAACTAGGTAGGTATTTATAATATAAAACAATGCTTTCTAAAAAAGGATTCGAATTTGAACAAATTTTACTAGTGTACAAAATCGTGATAAAGCGCTGTCGTAATTTGTCATTTCTCGTTTTAGATTTTATCAATTTTCATTCCACTATATTTTATTAACTTTTTCTACTTTAGCCGTGTTTTGGCCACATAATGGATTGCAAATAGGAAGTATTATAAAAATACTTACAGTGGCGACACCTTTTAGTCAAAAACCCTATTTTATTACAGATTTCCCTTTCTATTGATTATCTCTTAAATAAAACCATAGATAAGGGGAAAGTGAATAGATGGGAAACTCATTGGTAAAATTTCGAGGCGATATGCTGCCATCTATCAAATTGGAGTAGTCCTAAAATTCAACTTACACACGTTTGGACCCTTGAAGATTTTGGGGTGTTTTCTTGTCAATAGCATAGAATCATAGACTACTAATGTGAATAGATGGGAAACTTAATGGTAAAATTCTGAGTCGATGTGCTGCCATCTATCAAATTGGAGTGGTACTAATATTCAATATGGCCGCCAAGAGCGGACTTTTTGAAATTCAACTTTGTAATAGCGCAAAAATGTAATGAAGAAAGACAATCATATTGACTCTTTTGTGATTTGAAACTAGTTAAATATTTTGCCAATTTATATCTTTATTTGATTTTACTTCATTATATTTTTGCATTAATTTCAAACTTGAAATAAAATGCAATTTATTTTATTTTTTTTAACAGTAAATTAACGCCGCATCATATAATTTGTCTATTTAAACATGGAAATACTCAAACAAATATGCATTTACACCATTTAAATAATTAAATATCAAAAATGTTTTCTCTAACAAAATCAGCATATATAATTACTTAAGACCTTTATAAAAGTTTGGCGACTTGGAGTGGCAAATAAGTTTGAAAAAATTGAAGTTGAAGCAATGAGGCAATGTACAGTGGAAGAAAACTATTTAAAAATATAGTTACGAAAGCACCTCATTCGTTGGAGACGTGTGTTAAAAATAATGTGGAATTAGGAGGAAATAAGTCAAAAAATGAAACTTAATCAAAGAAGCAGTTTAAATCAGTAATTAGGTACATTCAATTTTCTTTTCTTTAAAAATAAACCTTAATTTTTAAATTTAAAAATATGTATGCGACAATAGTTTCAAATGTATTTTCTTTTGTTAACAATTGACCTTTTTGAATTAATTTTCCTAATTATGTGTGCTATTTAACTAATATACATATCCTAATAATACCTATCTATAATCGTACATAAATTTATAGATAACTCGTTTTCGTAAATCGCCCACGTATTAGTCTAATACGTCGAGATTTTACGAGGCTCTTATTGTCGATATCGAACTGATCCGAGTATCTAACGTGTCGGCAGTTTCCGAATATGCGGCCAGGTGGTGAATTACAAACTTTCAAATATCTCGAAAACAGTTAATATTTTAAAGATCAAAGAAGTATAACTTTTTTATACAAAAATGATAAACCTTTTTAAATTTAATACGTAAATTATTAATTAATGAGGGATAAACAATTTTAAGCTGTTTTCTTCTCTTTAATATGGCGTATGTGGCGACATCTACGAGATGACTCAAATCTAATAACATAATCTTGTTTGCCCCTATAGAAAATGGAACTACCCCAATTTTCAAACGTGTATCTCAAAAAATGGATTCTTTATTAACAAAAATATTTTTTATTCCAACTTTAACAGCCTGTAGATCGGAAAGGAGCGATCTCAGACCCATTGTTGTTAAGTAAAATATTTTATCTACAACTGTCATTATGTGGATGTATTATATGCGTATCTAAGGCAACATAAAGTAATCCATATTTCACTAGTGAGAATATATTCATATTACACGATTTTTGTCAATTATACCCCACTAGAATTAAAAATCATTAGATCTAGTATGCGTTTGACAAGTTAGTTGACAGCATGTTGACAGTTATTCGTTGTTTCCGATTCTTTTTTGAAATTAAACTTAAAATATTAAGCCCGTTTTAAGTGTTTATCAATTAAAAAAGTTGAAGACGATGATTACATGGAACTAACACCTCCTGAAATCCGTGACGCTGCTAAAGTGGCGTCGTTGGAATTATTACCTGAAATATC